TTTTTTTTTTTTTTTTTTTTTTTTTTTCTGTTCCTCGCTTAGCCAGAATATCGTTGCACTACTGTTACCCATGAACGTGTAGTTCGCCGACGAGCTCTGACGATAACTTCGTCAGCTACAACTCGTACACCAGCCCAAGTTTCAGCTGCTGTTGGTATCAGCTGTCGTTCTTCCAGTATAAAACCATCCCAATCTGAATCAAAGAAAAAAAAATAGTTGCTACAAACGAACAAATTATTTTAGAAGGTTCTTTAAAATCATTTTTGCGACAGGTATTTGACTTAAAATTGCCTCACTTTTTTCGTCTGGTCTCAATTCGAGCAGATAAACATATTTGATACCCGCTGACTGTTTTGCCCAATCTTCAGAACCACCTGATGCCGGATCTACAAAGCAAATAGTGAAAGAAAAAAAGCAGGAACAAGCAAACACAAGTTTTGCTTTGATATTACTGCTTATAAAAAGTGCTTTAAGTGCTAACTTAGCGACTTACATAATGTGTCCGCACCACTGCCGAGTACGTATCTTGTGCCATAAAGTTTGCTAAGTGCTGTTGTTGCTTTTTTACCAACATCATACTAAAAATAAAGCACTTTCCAACCTTTGGGTTTAACCATTTCAGCACTGTTCAGTTAAAAACAAAAACTAATGACGCCACCTTCAGTTACTTTTAAGACTCTTCTGTGTCCCCGCCCGTCCCCTCCCTATCCCCCAAGAGAATCGGCACTTTTTCCGGTTTGCTTTCCCTGCAAAAGAAAATTCTGAGAGATTAAGGAATTTCCTCTTGAAATATTTTCTCTAAGGGCAGTGAAGACAAAAAGGAAAGAAATGAATTTCTGCAAGTTCCACTAGATTTTAACCTTCTTCGCAACTTTTTTTTTTGGTCGAATTCTAAATAACAAAAAATTTTCACATTATTTGTTACTCACCCTGCCTTATCGTTATGCATTTATTTGCTTCCTTAACGGTTTTTGTCTACAAAGCTTAAATGTTGATTGCCAAATATATTAATGTTTTTCTGACCTCTTATTTTGAAAATGTTTTTTCCTTATTTGTTCAGTTTTTGCTGGACAAATAGTTTTGTTGAGACCTGTTTACTTTTTTTTTTTTTTTTGGAGTGGTTTATACTAATATTGAGTTTATGCCTCACAGCGATATTTTACCTTTAAGTTAAAATCACAATATTTATTGTTATTTGTCAATTGGAATTGCAAAGAGCAAATTGTATTATGTCAGGAGAATTCAGCTTTGAAAACCTTGAGGAAACTAAGCTAAAATACCGCATTTGAAGCAATTATTTGTTTCTTTCTTTATCACCTATGATGAATTTTCATAGTTTTTTTGTTGATTTCTTACTCAGTCAGAACCGCATTTTGTTCGTCTTTCGCTATCTGTTATCTCCACTAGAAGTCCCTAGTACAAAAAATGCCCAAAGAAGTAGCGTCTGTAGTCATCAGTTTGGTCAGATGTGTTGTTCTAGGGATAAAACTAACCAGGTCTTGTATATCAATGGGATACGTGTCCTTTTTATGACCATACGGATGAATCCAAATTTGAGAATATGTGTGCAGGGTTACAAATGCGTCAATACGACCACGATACCGATTTGATAAGATTGCATCCCGAACAGCACTGAAATATACGTTTACGACACAGCAATCATTGCAGATATTCCACCAAAATGTTTCTCACTTTCTTGTGTAAAATATACAAAACCAATTAATAAATAATAAGCTGAGATATGGATACATTTGAAAAACTGTTATTTTTTTTTTCTAATTTTATTTTTGTCCTACAATTTTTTGAGCTTTTTTTTCTTTGTTGTTAAACCTGCTAATTTTAAAAAATTGTTAAGATAACTATTTTGCAAACATTACATAAAGTATATCAGTAATAAAACTTATCAAAATATAGAAACTTTGATATTGTCTGATTACCTTAGCTGCTATCTGTTAGACAACTACTACAATTGTTTTTATTTTAAACAATTAAAATTGAATTAGTCGTGTTGAGGACAACGTTGTTGTTTATTTAAATAACAAGAAAAAAAACAAAAAAAAAATTAATAAATTATATACTTAATATACTCGTAAAAAGTGTCTATTTTAGGTTAATATACTTTAAAATAACTACAATCAAGTATTTTCAAACAGTTGTACAGCACTGGTTATACTAACCGCGTTTCCGGTTCACTAAATGGACCTGTACCTTGATATATTTCAGAGCATGGATCATCGCTTGTACCACTTTCTGCAATCAGGTTACTTCTGTCTTAACTTTATCGTTAGAAATTTATTAGAAGAAAAATTTTGGTAATTTTAGTTGTTAATAAGAAGTAAAACTAATCTGTTTTAATAATTTTTTTTTTTTTTTTTGTACTAAAAATTTAGGCTTACCTTTGAAGTGAAAGTCAAAATTTCGATTTAGGTCAACACCTTTGCAACATCTTGTCCGTCCCCAGTTATCCTTTTTACAGATCGAATTTGAACGATTTTTACGCCATAATCGAACCTGAAAGTTTGCAAATTGAAATTCTTTTTTTTTTCTTGCAATTTATTAATTGCTTCTGAAAATTCTTTTTGCAAAAAAAAGTTGAATTGACTTTTGTTTACAATAGGAAGCGAATAGAGCTGTCAATTGGTAGATAATATAATCAATAAACTAGTCAAGTCGATAGCATAGGAATTCTAACACCAAAAATAAAACCACATTTACCTATTGAAACTCTAAACTACACGGTAACATAAAAAAAAGAAAAACTGAATAAAACCAGTTGGCTAAAAAATTGACTGACCAGAAATTCACAGGAATTACAAAAATTACGTTCAAATAATATTAGGTTCTTTTTTTGCTGTATTCGTATAAAACAATAATAAAAAAACTACTGCAAAGTTTTTTTAAAGTTGTAAGAGGCCTATAACTGGTATTTTATGAAAAATAACAAAAAAAGAAAAATAAAAAAGATAGAGGAAAAGAAGTTAACTACTTTGAACTAAGTTTATGGCTGCTATTCTTCTGTTATAGCAGCTCAGAAACGTCATCAATTTGTCTTCAACTTTCTAGAAACTTGTTTATTTTGGAATTTAAAGCTGTTCACGAACAACAGAGGTGTCTAGAAATTTGATAGTTCAGCAGTATTTTTCACCGTATTAGCAGCATCTCATTAGAGCTCATTGATTTAGAAGCAAAAATACATTTTCATTACTGATTCCATCACTGAGAAACACTTGATTACTAAACTGTAGGCCATTTTTAACTTCGTAGTTTACAGCGTAAATCCTGAACGTTTATAATTCATACAGAATAATCTATTTCTTTTTATTTTTATTTTTTACTCAAGTCTAAAAAAACTATCAGTAACACGTCTTTTCTCTTTTTTTTATTTCACACAACTTTTACTGTTTGTAAACCCAACTTTAGGTGTGGCAAATATCACAATTCTGATCATCATTTCAAATTAAACTTTCAATATTTTCTTTTATTGATCACAAAATCACACTTAAAACTGCATGTAATTTTAATCTCAAAAAAAAAATCAAGAAATACGAGCGATTTTGAAAGGTTTAGAGGATCATTCAACAGCAGATAAATCAAAATCAGATAGAGATAAAAAAGATGACAACGACGATCACTGAACCTGTTGTTTAAGTATGTCACTAGAAAAAGAAAGAGGAAAAACAGAAGAATAAAAAGCTGAAAATAAATGCCATTATATTTTAACAGTAAATTTACCTCAGAAATAAAAAAAAGATCACTAGTAAAAAAACAGGAACGTTTAGTTTACAAAAGAAAACCTTCATTGTAATTTAAAGAAAAACAAAAAAATTTGGTTTTTTTTCTTTGGTGAGAAGAATAACCTTTTGTTATTTGTAAAATTTTCAGTTTTAATACTTGTAAAAAAAAAATTAACGAAAAAGTTTGTTTTTTTTTTTTTTAGAGGGTGGTGCAGAAAGAAGAGGAATTTTTGTTTATCTGCTACGTCTTCCAATCATCAAAATTATCTGAAATGAACAGTTTCAAGTATCCTTTTGATCATCAACAAATTCACATTGTTTTAATTAAAAATATCTGCTTTACCAATGTCCGACGACAATGTCGTTATTCACCGCCATCACCATCACCACGATACTTGTCTAAGTGCCCTTCTTGACGGTTGAACAATATTAAGACAAAAATAAAAAAAAGAGGAAAA